AGGAGGGAGGGGACGGCTGCGCTGGGGCTCCCAGGATCCCGGTGGCCGTGAGCAGCCGTTCCCTGGCCGAGGGTTGCCCGGACCCACGTCAGAGCTCAGCCTGGGTTTTATTTCGTTAGCAGCCGGTCCGTACGGCTTCGTCTGCCTCGGGCAGCGGTTTCAAAACTGGTTTATATGGGCCGATTCTCCTTGGATGAGCCATGCCGGCAAGATGCTGATGGGGACTCCCGGCGCTGGTACCACCTCTCTGTCCCCATCCCTGCTGGTGGCTTTGGGGTTCGGGCTGTCATCCCTCCCGCTGTTCCCTGCAGGGTTGGCTTCGTGCTTTCTTCTTCCCTTTCCAAGGGCTTTGGGAAGCAGCGGGGAGCAGCGAGGTGCTGTCAGAGTGTTTGCTGAGCCAAGCTGCTCTCAGACCTCCCTACCACCCAAGGGGTGTGGGGTCGGGGAGCGGTGGGGGGCTCGGGCAAGACAACGGGGTTCCTGGGAACCAGGAGACGGACAGAGACAGGGAGAGGAGAGGGAAAGGTCCTGGTGCTGGGGGCATGGTGGGACCCAAGCCCTGGCTGGTCCCTCCTGACGGCCACCGTGGTGGATGGGGGGTGGCCACGGGGGGGGGCTGCACGCTCCCGCCCTCACGAGAGCTCTCGGCTCTTGTTTATGTTCCTGGGATCATAAAAATTCTTGGGACAAATTCTTGGCTCGCTCAGGCAGCCTGTGTTTGGGATGGCGCAAAAGCTGCCGGCGTGTGGGCCAGAAGGTGCAGGAGAGCTGGCGAGGGGCTGCTCGGTCCCGGGGGTGGGGGGATGCTCTGGGATGTGGGATGTCCTCAGCCTGTTCCTGTCTCTGGTCCTCCCTGAAGTCCAGAGCATTTAAGCTTTGTGTGGTGCTGAGCTCTGCAGGGTGGCTTCTCGCTTCTCCTCTTCCATGTCCCATCTGGAGACCATGTAAAGCTTCCTGCCATCTGCAGCTCACCTCTGACCCGCACCATGGCAGGACCTCCTGGTTGATGGCCACTACCAAGCAGTACCACGTGTGGTCCCGCCTGCCCCGAGCCAGGGAAAGCGCAGGAGTTGAGGTTGGGAAGAGCTACTGGAGTGCTCTGCTCCAACCCGTCGCCCACCCAAGGGAGCTCAAGTCGCTCAGCTGAGCTTGGCACATCTCCCAGGAAGGAGATGCCGGGGACAGAGATGTGACCACCACCACGGTGTACACCACCACATGTGACTGCTGCCATATGAGCAGCCCCTCTGAGGTTTTCTCGGGCTGTGCATGCGGTACCCCTCGAGGCTGTCACCCAGACGCGCCTATTCAGGCACCAAAATTTGCAATGCTATAGGAGATAATCCAGTGGTGAACTTGGAGACCCTCAGCATAGCCCTAGTGCAGAAAACCTCACCCAAACCACCACGAACGGACCTTGCTGAGCTCCCCGAGCCAGGCTGTGGCCACGGGATGAAGGGGTACCCAGCTGCCCCCCTCCCTGCCCACCCCGTGCCACCCACTGTGTGTCTCCTCCCCACAGGTCCCATTGGAGGACCACGTCATCTACTCGGGCAACCTCTTCCAGTACATCGAGGAGAACAAGAAGTGGAGGAATCGCTTCTGCGTGGTCCCGCACAACTACGGCTTGGTCCTCTATGAGAACAAACTGGTGAGGGGGGGATCACTCTTTTGCCCACCTCTGGTGGGCACAGCTTTGAAGGGGGACACCCCATCGCTGCGGTGGTGTGGCCATGCTCCCCATCATCCATGACCATCTTTTTCTGCTCAGGCCTACGAGCGGGACCTGCCGCCCCGCGTACTGGTCAACAGCGCTGGCTACAAGATCCTCACCTCCGTGGACCAGTACCTGGAACTGGTGAACAGCAGTCTGCCTGGTGAGTGGTCCTGGTGGCTGCAGGGCGAGGAGGGGTGCTCGGGGTCCCCCACACCCTAATGCTCCCGGGCATCCCTTGGGACCTTTGGGAAGGGATGGTTTTGGGATGTGGCCATCCTTGCGGGCCTTTGGGAAAGGGTGGTTTTGGGGTACGGGCATCCCTGAGGACCTTCTGGAAGGGATGGTTTTGGGGTGTGGGGCTGTAGGGAAGGAGAACAACCCCATTTTCCCCATGAGGTGTAGGATACAGTGTGTGGTGTCCACTGCTCGGGTCCTTCCGCAGCCGCCGGGGAAGGAAGGAAAACGTCCGTGGCTCCATGAGAGCTGCCCCAAGCTGCTGCCACCTCCCCTTTCCTGGGGAGCACTGGGCGAAAGCAGCAGCTCCCGCTCCTCCATCCAGACTCCCAGGAGGACCAACCAGCACCCTGCTCTCCATCCTCCTGCCCTGGGAGTGGGGCAGGAGCTGCTGAAACAGCTGACGTAGGCAGCGAGCCCTTTGCTGGTTCAGCACGATGGCAGCAGGGTCAGGCCAGCAGCTCTGGGGAGGGTTTTACGCTGGGAATAACGATTTATTCTTTTTTTTCTTCAACTTTTACTTCCAATTTCCTTTTTTGGAAAAACAAGGGCTCTTGGCACTTTGTCTTGCCCTGTGTTTTTGGTAGAACTCCCAGTGAAGGTGCCCCTCCTGCACCCCCAGCCCCGAATGCTGGGGGAGATGGACACCCCCAACCCTGCAGCATCCCCATCCCTGTCCTGCCCCATCCCCTCCTCAAAGCATCCTTCCCCTTCCCTCCGCAGGCGTGACGCCCAAATCGGGGCACTCCCCCATCCTGAAGTGCCCCACGGATTTCCCCCTCATCCTCTGGCACCCCTACGCCCGGCACTATTACTTCTGCGTGATGACGGGCAAAGAGCAGGAGAAGTGGCGGGCGGTTTTCCAGGACTGCGTCCGGCACTGCAACAACGGTGAGCGATGCTGCAGGGGGAGACACTGGGGCTGGGGGGTGGGGAGAGCATCGCCCTCCTGCTGGGGAGAGGGCGTTGGGGACCCTGCGGTGGTTGGGTTGGGGTTTGGGATGAAGGGGATGATTTGGTGGGGTGAAGAGGCGGAATTGGTTGGGAGTTGTTGAGCATCGCTGAGCATCTCATCCTCTCCCTGAACGAGGGTGGGGAGCAGGAGGGATCCATCCCCGGTGCATCCCTGTGCCCAGCTTCATCCCGCTGCCCGTGAGGAACGCGATGTCTCTACCAGGGCAGGCGGTGTTTGTGGGAGCCAGCGTGGAGCCTGGCTTAAGAGATGCCTATTTTCCACGCTGAGGGAGAAAATATTTGGTAATTAAGGTTCGTCGAAACCCCAAGCCCCACTGTCCTGCTCCCACCGGCACCGCCGGGGCTCGGCGAGCGAGGGCAGCGGGGGCTGCGGGGCTGTGAGGGGCCGGGGCGGAGGCAGGACCTGCCTCCCACGTCAGCGATACTCTGGCAGGAAAACACGATTTTCCTGCTTGGCTGTGGCCTGTGCGCTCCTGGGCTGAGACCCAGCGCCCGGCGGTGCCTCAACGGCGAGACGTTTCCTGGGGAAGGAGGTGCCACTGCTGAAACCTGCATAAAAGCGCGTCTTTTAGTGGGCAAAGAGCGATGCTGCCTATTTTTGAAGTGCTTCTTTCATTCCTGAGAGCTCCGCGTAACCTCGGTTTTGCCGGAGCTGCTGTTTGGGGAGCAGAGTAGCGGGGTTGGATCCGGAGCCTGGGTTTCGGTGGGGGTTTCCATCCCCCCGTGTTAGATTAAATCTCCTGAAGGCTTTGCTCTCGCCCTTCCTTTTGGTGCTCCTTTCTGCAAAACACATCCCTGCGCTGTTGATGAGCTGGGGGTGTCCGAGCTCGTCGGGATGAGTGTGTCCCCGCTGCCCAGCCGGAGCTCCTTTGTCGGGGGGGTGCT